TCTACTTTGGTGTCTCGATTAAGATGCTCAGAAGCCTCAAACTGCTCCCCTTGGGCGTTGATTCGGTCTCCTTCACAAACCCATGACTGCCGGCAGCACCGGCATTAGCGCTGCAACGCGCGGGGCCGAGGGTGAAGGGGGGAACGCGATCAAGTTCCTTGAGGTCTTTTTGCCCTTCCCCTGCAGCAACCTGTGATTCGTTTTGAAGTACAGGCGCCGCCATCAGCTTGGCTTTGCGTGGCAGTCCCGATGCTTCCGCCTGGGTCCGCGCCCAGGCCTATCCTGGCCGACTCACAGGCTCCAAACTGCTGCAGGCACCTGCCCGGGCTCGGCTGGGAAACTGACAGCGCGTCTAGCTCGTGCTGAATGGACTGGCGCCGCTAGTGCACCGTCCCGCAGTCTCTCTGCGGAGTTCGTGACTGAAGAATAAGTAGGGAGCTTCGCCAGAGAGCGCCTGAGAGTTGAGTTAGACCAACCCCACCCACTGGCATCCGCAGAAGTTACTGATTAGGAAAGCTCCTCTAGCATCAGCCCATCTTCCGTCACACACTCTTCCTCCCCATCGAAGCAGCTAACGGAAAAGTGGCATCGAAAAGCGCCAGGATTGCAGGGGAGCGCTCACGCAGCACCGAAGGCTCGGCTTCTCTGGGGCGGCCCTCGGTGCCTCCATCACACCCGGAGGCTGGGCACCCCTTGCCAGCGCTCCTGTAGCCTCGCACAAGGCTAAGGTCTGCGCGCAGACTCCCAGTTTTCTAAACTAAAAACTGTGCGCGCGCCCTAGTGTGGGAATCTGACATAGACTTTCAGAGTTTTGTTTTGCTTTCAGTCCGGCCCGCAGCGCTCTCAAAGGGAGCGCCTTAACAGGAATCTCGCGCAAGCTGATGCGCGGGCTGAGCCTGCCTCTCGTGGGGGCCTCTGGTGGAGGGGCTGGGAGACAATTGGACCTGGGACCTAAAAGGAAAAGAGCCTGCGCTAGCGTCGGGGTGGAGGGGGAAAGACCTTTATTGAGGGCAAAAGTGTCCGCACCCCCTGGAGCAAGAAGCACTGGCGCACTGAAATTCTAACCGTGTGGGGAAAGGAAGTCTGGCGTCTGGTTGTAGGTTTAAGAGACGCTGATATGTATATGTCCCAAGGTGAATAAAAATCAGACGCCTCCTGACACGGTGCAACTCAGCCTTTCTCTTCCTCCCTCCTTCTTCACCCCCCCCCCCCCCCCGCGCACTCCCCCCCGGCTAAGCCCTATAGGGAAAAGAAGGTGGACCGACACCCCCTATCCACCCACCCAATCCTTCCTAGTGGTTGTGATCCATAGGGCGCAGAGGCCAGCCCCTGCCCCCAAACCCCCTAACCCCTCCTGGCCAGTCAGCTGGGGAGACA